GCTCCCCTCCCCTCTGGGACCTCAGTGCTTCCCTGACTATTCTCCTTAGCTCATTGAAGTTTGCCCTCCTGAAATCCAGGGTTGCTGCTTTGCTGCAGGCCTTTGCCACCTTGCGCTGGATGGTGAATTCCAGCAGGCGATGATCACTGTCGCCCAGGTGGTCGAGCACCTGCAGCCCCCTCACCAGGTCATCTCCCATGGCCAGCACCAGGTCCAACAAGGCGTCTCCCCTGGTGGGCCTGTGCACCTCCTGGGTTAGATGGAGGTCCTGCATTCTGGCTAAGAACCTACATAAGCGGTCAGACCTGGCTGACTGCTCTTCCCAGCAGATGTCCAGGAAGTTCAGGCCCCCCGTGACTACCACATCCTTAGACTTCACTACCTCCGTGAGCTGACCTAAGAATTCCTGGTCGAGCTTTTCCCCTTGGTTGGGAGGTCTGTAGTAGACCCCCACTGTTAAGTCTCTTTCTTCATGCAGAAACCCTTAAAGTAAGATAAAAAAATAAAAATGGTCAGCAAGTTAGAGGCAAAACACATTGAGAGTCTGTTCAACATACCTGCCAACTAAGTATTCCCAGTTGAGCCGTATCCAGTCCCATGCCATGTTTTTGCCATAAGTATTATAGGAGATGTACCTCAGTACAGTAAACACATCCTGACTTTTAATAAAACTGGTGTTGTAAATGTATTTTAGATACCTAGGAGAAATCATATATGTATTAGTTAAGCAGGCTTTATAGCTTTTTTCATTATAGATTACAAAATAATTAATTAATTGGGTATATACTTGTAAGAGTGAGTATAAGAAATAATAAAAGCCTTAATATTTTTATGTCACTGATTGTTTGCTGAGGCCAACCTAAACTAACTGATTGCTACAGCTCAGCTGTTATTTTATTAGGGAAAAAAGTGATGCTAGAGAGGTTTTTAAAAAAAAATAGATGAAATAGCTGGGCCTGAAAAAGGAACATTCATTACGTGTAAGATTTTAAAAAACAATGCAAGCATTTTGGCTTCTCTGGCCATGTCCACATCAGTGCAGATGTTTGTTTTCCCAGGGACAAGAAACAGCAGCAAGAAACAACAGCACACCTTGTGCCGCTGCTACTTGTCCCCAGGGAATGCCTGTGCCATGTGCCCTCTGGCATGCCACAGGTTACCTCAGGTGGGGTAGGGGAGGCTGGGAAAGCAACTGTACTGGCCCCAGCAGTCTTACCTGGGGTCCTGGGGGCTGGAGAAGCTGCAGCCATGGTGTTCCCGCAGCTAGGAGCCTGCTGGCACCTGGACCATGGCTCTGACCCGCCAGGCTCCAGTTTTGGGAAGCATGTGTTACCGACACATGTGCCTCCCTGCTTTTTCTGCATGGGGCACATGGCAGCCCCCAACGCTGCAAGGTAGCATCATGGGGAACTCCTGAATTTGTGGTGTGTGGCACCACAGACAGGTCTGCAGTGCTATATACTGCATGGCTGTGTTTGTCTTGATGAGGCCTCTGAGTGTGTTTTACACCAAATCTCTGGTACTTTGGAGGATGGACTTTTTTGACTCTTGATTAGAGGTCAAGGGAACCTGATTTACAATGAAAAGCTGAGAGAACTGGAATTATGTAGTCTAGTGAAGAGAAGACAGAGAGGTCTTTGAATACCTGAAGAGCAAAGGTTTAACAACGGTGGTGGTGGTTGGGGCCACATTTGCTGTGGCACCTGAGCTGGCAATAGCTGATGCTGCCATTCTTGCACTCCCTTGAAGTGGGCACTTGAGGCTGAGGCCCCAGTTGCCCACCACTTTTTACACTACTGCTTAAGCATGGTTATAAAAAAGATTGTGACAGACTATTCCATGTGTCCACAAGAGACAGGACAAGAAGTAACAGACTTAAGTTACAACAAAGGAAATTAAGGTTGGATCCTAGTAGGAACTTCCCTCACTTTGAGGGTGGTCAAGCACGGGAACAAGTTGTGGAATCTTCAGACTTCAAAGTTTTTAAGAACATCCAGACAGACACTTGGTTTGGGTGGTTTGGACAGGGGTGATCCTGCCTTGAGCAGGGAGTTGAACCCCCAAAGTCTCTTCCAGCTCTGTTTTCCTATGGTTTATGACCCTGTCTTATCCATCCACTCTGCTTGTACATACCAAACCTAGAAATATGGCAGAAGAAACTAATCTGGGGGCACCTCGGGCAGCTGTTCTTGGCCTCTCTGTCTCTGGTGTTCTTGACAGTGACTAGACCAGGGTGCTCAACTTGTGGCCCACAGAGCCTTGGAATCCAGCCTACGGTGCTCCCACTAGGCCAGGAAATGTGGCAGAGGGGGAACAGCAGTCATTAATATGGTCACCCTTCCCGCCCTGCCAAATTCCCAAACGCAAGCTGGAGCCAGGCTGTGGGCCCTTCCCCTGGCATGGCTGGGCCATGCCCCCCTCCCTTTGCATCTGGGTGGTCGCTGGGTTGGGACTGGGCCAAGTCCCTTTTTTCCCCTTGTGGGGCTAGGTTGGTGCCAAGGCACATCACCCCTTTTTCCCACAGGGCTGGGTGCGATTGGGCAGCTCCCTCCCCCTTCTGTGTGGCCAGATGGTACCCCTGCACCAGGTGCTGGATCAGGATCACCAGCTGGATTTGGCCCACAGATGGACCAGACTGTCCATCCAGTCTGCAGGGAAAAGGTTGAGCAACACTGGATTAGACAGGTACTCCTAGAGTGGTTTCACCCTCACACTTTGGGCATAGTGCATGTGAGTAGGAACATGGTTAAGAAGGTCCCTCTCTGACAGCACTAGAGGTGTTTAGCAATATCCTTACTGAAAGTCAGTGAGACTTTAAGTTCCTAAGTCTCCTGAAAATTTGACCCTAATTCTATGGTTATGTCCCCATTGCAGTGAGGAAGTATAAATGAGTGAAGCACAGGAAGACCTGTGCAAACTAACTAGTTACTATATGGTAAAAGTATGTATATTCTGGTGGGGGGGAGGGGGGAAGCAGGGGGGATTTACCATACATTATCTGCTCTGTGTAACTGCCCACATGCACACTGATAATTTGATCAGTAGCATCTAATGAACAGTAGTTTAGCCATTGGGGTTAAACTACTGCAGTTTGGCTTTCGTTTACCATGGGGTAAGGCACAGTCGGTTACTGTGGAGTAGCTGATACATGGGAAAGCTTCTGTATCATGGTGGAACTGGTGAGTCATGGTGACTGGTTTGTTTCCCCATCCCTTAAGCTACTCTTAATATAATTACCTTGGGTAACAATAACAGCAGTGTCAGTGGTAGGGAATTCAGTGCAGATCTACAACCCCATGATGGGTCCTGAATACTCACTCAGATGGCTAGTTCTCAACTAACATGCTGCTATGTCTTCACTGCCATAGTTAGCTGTGCTAGCTAAATTAAAGCAAGCTTTAGTATGCCTATCTCTGACCGAGAAGATATACATTAGGAGATTTTGCTACCAACAAGATGGTTAAAATTCTTTCATCTAATAGAATGAAATCCTGTGAGTGCTAAAAGGCCGCAGCTGCAGCAGATCAGCAATGTGACTGGTGTCTCAAAAAATAAATCAAGCCACTGTCACAGAGACATATACTTAGGTAATATGGCATGGTCATAACTATTGTATCATAACATTGCAATATAACTTTGTAGCAGTTACGAAGAGGCACTTTTTCAGCTGCTGCAAATAGGTGCTGATGACTGCTTGTGTACTCTGTCACTTGGATAAGAGGATTCTCTTACCGAAGTGACAGAGTGCACAACCAGTTTTCTCAAGCTGTGTGTCTTTTTTCCCCCGTTGTTTTACTCATAAACTCAGTCTGGAGAATAGCCATCTTGTTAGTTTAATATGATAAGAATTTTTACACTATACAGGTTTGGGCTGCTCTAAATAAACCATGTTTTAATCTCATCAATGGTGAGTTATGAATCAACCTTAAATGACAAGGGCCTATGAAATTATGAACATTGCTGGGCTCTGTGGCCAATTTATCTTTATTATTACACCATCCTCATTCTCCCATTTCCTCAAGGGCTAGGGACAGAAGTTACACATAAACCGGTTTAAGTGATCAGAAACTGGTTTAAACCTATAACAGAAGTTCAGTGCACATAAACCAGTTTCAAAATGGCTGAAACTAGTTTAAGATAAACCTCATTGAATGTAGTATCAGACTTAACTGATTTGGGCTAAACTGGTTTATGAAACTTCTGTTCCAAATCCCTTCCTGGCTCAAGTTAAATCACAGCTCCTCAGCATGCTTTCCAGCCTTGGCCAGGGCTGGGCTGTGCTGTCTGCTCCAGAGAGCAGGGTTAGCCATGCCCCTCTGCTCCCTAGCTGGAGCAGTGAGGTCTGGCTGACAAGAGGATGGGGAGGCAATCCCAGCTGGGGATGCAGCCCAGTTTATGGGTGGAGGGGACTCCCCCTAGGCAAACCCCAGCTGGGGTTTAGGGCCAGGGAGGGGGGTTAAATACCTCTTCTCCTGCTTAAACTTACTGTTGGCTGCACCTGTGGATTGAAAATCCTAGAGGTACCTGGAAGCAGCAAGATGAAGTAATGAGCAACCCTGCAGAGTTCTGCTGCTGGGATTCTGGACTGCAAATCCCAGAGACCTTGGGGGCAGCAGGAAAAGGAAGTGAACACACAGCCAGAAAGCCATGCTCTAGCACTCCCCTGCTTCTGGCCTGAGCCACTGCAGGCATGTGACTACATTTCCTGAATCAAAGGCAAATGTCTGTTCACTTTTGTTTCAATTTAATCTGTGCAGCTTAAATCAACCTGCAAAGACTGAATCAATTCAGCCTTGGGCTTTTTGACTGTCTGCACTTCTATTTTTTGCTCCATACACTTGCTTCATCTTGCAAATTCTTTGGGGCAGGAGCTATATTGTTTTAGGCTTTTATACAGTCATTAGTACACTGGTGTGCTCACCCTGACTGGGACATTTAAATACCTTCCCACTATTACAGCTTGTAGTACTGGTCATTCTATGCCTGCAGGAATACCTAGATCAGATTATTTCCAGTCGAGAAGCAAAGCTTTTGGCTCACTGCTTGTAGCTTTATCACAAAGGAGATTATTAAATGACCATTTCTGAGAAACGCTGTGCTCTATATCATACCATGTATGTGGCAAAAACTATAGTACAGGAGAGTGGGAGATAAGGGAGAGGAGGACTGTTTCAATGGGGAAATACGTCACCTGTCCAAAAGTGTGATGTTCTGCACTGATGCCAAGCCATACAGCAACTTTTCTTTCTCTTGAGCTAATGGAGTAGTTTGGTATTTCTGAAACATGTAGTTCCAATGTGTCTCGTTCCTAGAGTTCTGCATCCCATAGCGGTACACCAAGAGCCGGAGATTTACAGGAAGACTAGAATAAACAAAGCAGTATTTGATGGCTTTTTTCCTGGTTTTATTTAATTCTGGCACTATATGCTGTATCTTAACTGAATCCCAAACCCATTTACCTTCTTCCATTTATCCATTCTTCAAATAATTTAGAAGCATTATTCAAGGCATCTTGATCACCCATACTGCACGCAAAATCTAAAACAGAGGCACGAAGAAGCCTAGACAGGGGGACAGAGAGAGAGAAGGATTTTTCCCACTGCTCAGCACTGCCAGAATCTATCTGTAATACTACTTTAAAAAAAAAAAGAATGTCCCAACCTTCTCACATGTGTTCCAGGACCATCTTCCTCATCATTCCAACCCAGCTGCTGTGTAATGGGCTTAACAAGAGTCTGAAAAATGTTCTGAAAGAGATTTTGGGATTACCCTCATAGGTTTCATTAATTAATAGGATTTTTGTATTCATAGTTTATCTTTTTTCATTTTCAGAAACATTAGGAAAGTTCTAATATCGTCTGAAGAAAAAAAAGTTATTTTCTAAAGAAAGAAAAAACCCCTCTCATTAAAGCTCCTGTGGCATAAAATGATGTGAACAACATGCTGTACCTTTGCTTTGCAATGTTGTGATACACTGATATGACTTGAAGGTATTCCATTTTCTTCAAGCCTTGTGTACACTACAAAATGTAACCATCTGTGTAAACTATTACTCCTTCACTTTGTTCCCTAACAAGATGCTGAATACAGTTTGTATTTATAGTGACTATTAATCCATGTTCAGTTCCAGGTCAGCAGTTATACTTGCTGACAACTACACTCAGACACAGCTATATTTCACAGTGTAGACAAGCATCAGAAGTTTTGCTGCATTGTACAATCTTGCTGGTAGGATGCAAGATTGTGCTGGCACATAAATGGCTGTGCTGAGAAGAATTGAGATGGGTGGGTGACTATAATCCCAGCCTGGGGATCAAAAAAGGCCTCTTGCAAAGTATATTAAGAATTATATATATTAAGCCTATATTAAGCCTCTTGCAAAATATACTTTAAGAATTTTATAAATTCCCAATGCATTTCTTTTAATGCTGAAATCATAAAGATAACAGCCTCAGCAAGCTTGAAAATAATTATTTTTCCTGTTTTGAAAGTTATGAACTGTAAGATCTGGAGACTGTAAGTAAGAACTTCCATTAGCTGCATTACCTGGAAAACAGGGTACAAGTCTTTATCATCTTTAAGCATGTCACTGAGATATGTTACTGCCACTATAACTCTCTGCCAAGGTAAATATTCCGTTTCATTTTGTAGATAATTTGTTAGATCCAGAGGGACAGAGTAATTCACAATGTCAGCCCTGAGGAAAGAAAAGACAATTGATGCAACTTTCAAAACCTGCCACACTTGAAATAGAAACATAGAGATAATAACATATGTATATTAATTGGAATCATATTTTTTGTTGTCTTATTCATGTGGGATTTTTTTGAATGACTTTGTTTTATGCCCTCTTATGTCTATTTTTTTTTAATTATGAGGATTGTGTAGCTGATATATTGATCCTACTGTACAATCTAAGAAAGTGTGTTGGCGGGGGGGCTTATCACAGGAGCCTTTGCCTCTTTGGGTATGAATAAAGTTACTTCTAGTTTCATCTAAATTCAAAATGCAGAAGGGTCAGACAGCTTCATTTCCTCCAACATTGTGAGAGTATCTGAGGGAAGAAGTTCTCTTTTCATTTTCCAAAAAAATCATACTGACAACAGATTGGGTAATGAGGTATTTCTGGAAAATCCTCAATCTCTTTATCATTTCTAGGAATGGGTGGGTACATCTTTTTCTTTTCCCTGCAACTACCAGGAGGTGTTGGAGGAGTGGTTTTCTTAATCCTCTCCCTGAAGGAAATGGTTTATAGGAGATGTTTGGCCTCATTGATCAGGCACTTGCATGCCTATACACATGCTGGTTTGCATTCTAATTTGAATGCTCTAGTGTAGCCTCACTGTCATGTGTATAAGCCCTAAGCATTTAAATATGGCTGCTGGGGCACTTTATCTAAACCTCATCAAATGAGATTTAGACAAACCGTCCCACAGCCATTTTTAAATTTGCAGGGGCTTAATACACATGACAGTGAGGTATTTTAATTAGAGTGGCTGTCCAGGAACCACTCTAATTAAAATGCCCCACTCAGGCCCCCACCCCTGAGCACATGTATAGGCAGCTGAGGATTCAGTACAATTTCTGGTTAGCTTCTGGTTATGGTTATAGCAGGCTGAGATGCATCCATTCAGCACTAAGCACCAGAGTATTGAGAGAACTGTAATAATTTGGTTATTAGCTTTACAAACTATTCTGGAGAAGCTGAATTACCTGGCAATCCAACCAAGACCTGAATGAAAGACAGCTACACATTGCTGGTTAGAAGTTTTATAACACAATAGCTTTTGCTGGAAAATGGGGAGCTTTTTAACTGAAATTGCAGCCTTTTTGTAGGGACATGTAAGTTTTGTCAGGGAAGGTTTCTCAGCTCCAGGTTGAAATTTCAGTTCACAAGCACAGTCAGAGACACCCACCAATAGGGCAGTGGTTACAGAATCCACCTCAGATATGCAAGACCAAGGCTCAAGTTAGGCTGAACAAAAACTCGCAGTGGGTCTCCTATGTTCCAGGCAAATCCCCTAAACACTGGCCTATTGGGGCAAATGTCCTGCTTTTAAAATTGCAAGGAAGACTGATACTCACCCAGTTCTATTGGTGTTTATAATGTAGACTCCAACCTGTATTTGTTGGAGATTTCTGATATAATGGGACAGCTGAAAATCCCCACGTTTCTCGCTGCCTTACAATTCTGAAAGTCTAATAATCAGTCTAATCCACAATGCTTTAGTGGGCATGTCTCAGGTTAGTACTATTATCTCCATATTATAAAGAGAGAAACTGAGGCACAGGGTGGCGGAAGTGACTTGCATGAGGCCACCCAGAAGATCAGTGACAGAGCCATATATGCAGAATGGTTGGCATATACAAGCTTTAAAAACTAAAAACATTTAAGACACAGAAATAAACATTGCTGGGATATTTAACATGAAGAAAAAATTGTGAATGTTGTGGGAAATTATAATGACTTCAGTGGGATTACCCTTCAGAGTATCTGCTCATCCTTGGAGTCAATTGTTCACAATTTGACTGTGAGTTTTTATTTGCAAGAATTAGGGGGATTTAGTGCTTTATCACAAGAGCAGAAAGCCATGCCATGAATTCTAATACCAACATCATTGTTTGGCCTTTGGCAAACCATTTAACCTCCATTCACATCAGTTTCTTTACCTGCATATTGGGGTTATTAATACTTAACCTGTCTCACAAGTTCATTGTAAAAAGTAACTAGTGTTTGTAATGCATAATGTAAGTGATATAAATCCTTTGTAAATTTTGGCTCCACAGAGGAGATGAACTGCCTGTAAAGATCTAATCATTAAGTTCAATAACTTCATGGTATTTTATTTGTAATGGCTTTCACTCCAGTGTACAGTGCACTGTCAATTTTCAGGAACAGTGATGATGATTTTCAGTGTGTTAGACATGAAGTTTGTAGATCTGTTCCTGTGACTGTGGGTACGAGGCAGATCAAACTAATGTTCATAACAATCCTTTGTATGCACAAGTATATGGGTACAAGATTGTGTGGGCATTTTGGTTTTGTACCTGGAAATTAACCAGGCACAAATTGTTTTTCTCCTCCCTTTTTTATAGGACTCTTATCAACAGCCTTTCTAATTCTCTCACTGTTTATCTCTTTTATACACAGCTACTCAACTTCACTCCCACAACAGCCCTTGACTTTATCCCGAGGCAAAAGGAATTGTCTGCATTGTGTGTTAATGACTATTAAAGAACTAAAGAAAATATCATGGCACCACGCTCCCTAAAGGGTCCAAGATAATGAACTTTGAAAAAGGGTACAAAACTTACACAGGAGGCCTTTTCCAAAAAACACTCAGAAGCATTATTATTATTATATGTCTAATAGCAGCGCACAGGAACAAAGCAGCTCTGAAGGGGCTGTCACTACCATGCTGTCACTACCATTCATGTTTCATAGTTATATAGTAGCATGTGTTCATTCATGCAGTAAGCCTTGGTGACCCACAACATGGGCATCTCATTAACTATTCTGATATCCCATGGTTGAACAGGAAATCTAGTGCAGGGGCTCTCAATCTTTTCCTTCCTGAGGCCTTCCCCACCCCCAGCACACTATTGAAACTCCACAGCCCACCTGTGCCACAACAACTGTTTTTTTGGCATATCCAGTATGCAGGGGGAAGCATAGGTGAGTCATGGGAGGGGAGCCATAGCAACATGTAGTGGGGCATAGTAGACATGTTGGGGGACCAGGGAGGGCATGTTCCCCCCAGTTTTGTGCTCCCACAGCAGGCATAGGGCTGCAACCTGGCCAGATGAGCACAGGCAGGAGCTGCCTCTGTGGCCCAGGCATGGGACCTAGCATAGGAGGGTGGAGTGGGGTGGTAAGACTCATTGCCATCACCACTGGAACCCCTGCACCATCTGCAAGGAGTAACAGATGGGGTGGAGGGTGTTGAGTGAGGGGCAGCACAGACCCCCTGAAGCCTGCTCATGGACCTCTGGTTGAGAACCGCTAATCTAGTGTATCTTGGGATGTCTGTGGAAAGTCACATCGAGTCAGATCTTTTGTGACACTTCTCAGGCACTTAAAATATGGACACTGTGAGACAGTGCCATGTAGAACCTGGGATAACTTGTATTGTACATCATAGACACACTCCTAGGAGATTATGACTTTATTTGGAATCCTGTTTTGGCAATGATTTTTGCAACTCACCTAGCTGAAAAACTCCTTTCAGAGGAAATATGCCTGCCTAGAAAGGAAATAAGGCTGTGATCCTGCTCACATTGAAGTAAATGGAAAAATTCATATTAACTCCAATAGGTCAAGATCAGACTCCTTATATTATAGCAGAAAGATTGGCTCTAAATTGATACCAACAAGAGTTGTACACAAACACACATGCTTGAATTTGTTCCTTATGGAGGAAAATTGGACCTAAATTATTCCTCCCCTTAAAGAATTCTCATTTCAGCCACTCAGTCCAAGGCAATTCCAATATAATAGCTGCTGGGAAGATATGAAAGCTATTTTGAAACCTCCATTTTGAGTTACTTTCATTAAGATGCCTACCTTGCCAAAGAAAAGGCATCATCCAAAACTCCAGCACGGTCAGCAGACGAAAATGACTGCATTAGGAGGACCAAAAAGAAAGACAAGAGATTTACATTCTGAAGAGGAAATTGTGATAATGTAGAGACCCCATAAACCAGCTGCTTGTAACTAGATCAAATTAATTTTGTACAACTTACCTGGTAGTTCTTAATCAGGTAATTGGCTAAATCTTTCCATGTCTGTGGCTCATAATTTACACGATAAAATCCAACATGGTCTGTATTTATTTTCAAGAAAGAATTGGGAGGTAGGTTGATGGGCTTTATGGTAATTCCTGTGGCAGAAAAGAAACAGCAATGATAAATTTTCATCTATTAAATACATGACTGGGGAGCCAATTGAAAAGATCTTGGGCCCCCAAACCCTATTTAGTTGTAACCTGGTTTGCAAATTCCACTGGGACATATAGCATAATTCTAGTTCAGTAGCTCTAACATGGCAGTGAGTAAAGAGGAGTTTATTGATACCAGCTCTTAGCAGAGAATAAGAAATACTTGTGACTTTTAAATGCGGAACGGTGTATTTAGAAAGAACATGAAGAAAATAAAGTACTGTTTGAAAATGAATACTCACATACACATGATTAATGTTCATGTTTCTTTATAGATTCACAGAAGTTTAGAGCTGGAAGAGACCAGCCCCCTTGAAAAGGCTCTGTTGGCCGTAAGCTTTTATTGTTTTTACAGAAGTTGACTTTTGTGCTAATGAGCCAAATGGTAGTCGCAGTAGGAAGCAGTTACTCACACAAGCAGCCCATAAAATCCATGAGATCACTCATGGCCCACTGGATTGTGATAAGGATGGTAAAAGAAAATCCTTTCAAACAAATCTCTGATTTTGGATCACAGCGAAGCATTTAATTTTGGATTTTGAATGCAAGTAATTGAAATAAACTTAAATTACTGTATTTACTGGAATCAAAGATGAGGTTTTTTGCCCCTTTCCAATGAACATGTGGGGGGAAAACCTCATTTTAGATTTGAGTATTGTCATAAGGCGGGTGGTGGCTTAGCTGTAGCTTCAGTCTAAAGTCAGAACTAAGCTCTCGCTGTCCTGGTCTGGGGTGGTTTGTTTGGTGCAGTAGGGGGCTTGTGGCAGGCAAAGCATAGGGAAGACCATGCAGTAGGAGTGGGAAGACCCCCAGTGGACAGTTTGGGGGGAACACAGGAGACAGTGCATAGCCTGTCCCCCCGCTCCCCACCATGTGCTTCTCCTTTACCTTCTTCTCTGGCCCCTCCAGCCCCACCAGGGTGAGACCCACAGCTACAACTGCTGCTTCTCCCTGGCTGGGTCACTGGCTGCCCTGGAGCTGGGGCAGAGCTGCTACAGAAGCTGGGGGCAAGGAGCAGGAGGT